TGGGTTCAAATCCTGGTGTAGTGTGGCCGCCTACTTTGTCTTACCCTCCCACTTCACTTCTCTGCCTCGGTTTCCCCATCTTTAAGCGAGGGACACCAATCACACCGACCTCGCAGAGTTGTTTTTAAAGTTGAAAGCATTTAGAGCCGAGCTGAGCATTTAAAGCATGTGTGCTCGGCCTTCCGTAAGTGTCAGCTGTCACGTTATCTGCAGCCTGCTCCTCCCAGTTGAGGTTGAACCTGTGAACTTGCGAAACCACCCGCTATTCCACTGTTTTCTGCTCTTTTTTGAAAATTTGGGATGTGCATGTCCTCCTTCTCTTTTCAGCCTTAGAAGAATGTCCTGGCTTTTTTTTTTTTTTTTTTTTTTTTTTTAGCACCTATAGAAACTTCAATTTCATTGAAGGGCATCTCATCACACTAAGGTCACATGTGACAAATGGTCTTTTATTACCTGCTGATTACAGTTAACCTTAATTTCTTTCATGGCAGCCGTGCGGTGCCTTCTATTTAAATAGAGCTGTTCCTGGATGTGACTTCTCGAGCCTCTCTGGGTTTAATTCTAATTTAACTTGCCATTCCAAGCGGGACTGTTGTGCAACTGAAGTCATGATTCACTCATTTGTTCTCTCTAGATCTCATTATTACAACGCAGTGCCTGGGAGGCCACCCCCGGCGCTCATTCACTACTCCAAATGGTCTAACCGTCTGGGGAAGGGAGTGGGCCTATAGTTATTGTTCTTGTGAACTGTGCAGATGCCTTCACACTGGCAGCAGAGGTAGCCCTACCATTTTCATCATGTCAGCTTACTGTGAAGGATTATTGGAAGAATCCTATGTTGGTACACGTGGCGTTTCCACCTTTGGAACAAGACCGGCTTTGGAAGCATAGAACCGGTTTGCATGTATTTGGGGATACCTGAAGGGCCATCTGAGCGATGGGCACGTTGCTCAGAGAACATAGAAAGGGCAGGATAGACGCACCCGGAGAGCAATGATAGCTGTTCTATTACTGAATGCCCACGCGTGTGGGCCTTGGAGTGGGATGGGACAGGAGGAGATCGCCAATAGTAGGATCATTGTTCACCCTCTCCTGCTCAACACATGCTTGCTGGGATCAAAGGGAAGATTTTTATTCATTCACTGGCATCCTCTACACATTCAGAGGGATCTCAGTGGCCTTCCCCTGAGAATTATAATTGTAAGGAATGCTTTAGAATGCCGTCCTCTGGAATTTAGGGCAAAGAACTGAGACACTTATGTGCATGTGGTTTTAATGGTTACCCAGACTCTCTGATATTCAGTAGCCACTTTTTATATAGTGTTTAAAGTATGAAGTTTAGGGAAATGAGAGTAAGGGTGAAGAATTGAGTGACCATTATCTGAAGACTTGCAATAAAAGAATCCTAGTAAGGATTAATTAACCAATGAGTGATTAATTGCTTGATTGATTATATTAAATAAAAAATTAGGAATACTTGACTTACTACACTCATCCGTTTATTCATTCATTCAATTTAGCAAACATTGCTGGAATGCCCACAGTGTTCTAGTCTCTAGAGATACTTGGCCCCAGTACCTTGACTGCCATGAACTTGGGTTGACCAAACCCCCACCTTCGATTGATTGTCTTCCCCCTCCAGTGCCTGCCCTCTGTGGGTTCTTGCGTGGACCCCCAACATAGCGGCAGTCCTGCACGGAGTTGGAGTGTCCACCCATCTTCCTGTGTTCTTTAAGTTCTTCCGCCATTTTGTTCTCTGTCTACCTCAGCCCACCTCTTCTTACATTTCTGCAAAGATCAAATAAGTGCTTCTGAAAGGCACAGCCTGGCCAAAGGTTCTTCAGCATCTTCTGAGGATGCCTCTGCTGTTTTAAAAGGGGAGGCAGGGAAAAACTTAACCCAAGCTAGCTCTGCTGGGTCTGGCTGTTCGTGGTACTTACCTTTTTAATTTTTTTAAAATTTTTATTGCATAGATACCTTGAGGGGATGGTTCTTCATAATATCCTAAAATATTTTACTTTAAAATGAAGAAAGTCAATGTGTGAAGTTTTATAGCATTAAGGCCATCCCCTAACATGTCTTTCTTTCGGTGTAAATTCAGGAGTCTCGGTGAAGTACTATCACGCCAGTCTGTGGCCTTAACCTTCCTTAACCACCTGTTGAATGGCTCCATGATGGATGGACCATAGAGCAGCCTCACTTCCTTGGTCCCTTAAAGACCTGCTTAGTACTTACTTGGTTTTAAGTTCAGATTTATTTTTTACTTTCTCTCTCTATACAAATACATAGCAAAGCAAACAGCTAAAATAAACTGCAGACAAAACAATGTATTATGTGATTACGCATAGCTATATTTATACTTATTAGTCTGTAGAAAGTACTGTACAACATACACCGTTCTGATTATAGACTTTAAGTTATAATTTGAAGGAAATAGATACCATATCATTTTCTCTTGATTTAAAAGATGTCAAACATATCACGACACAGAAATCTCTATTTTTGAGGCCCCCAAGGACCAAGATCCGTATTTATTTTCACGACTAGATATTCAAGAAATGAACTACTGTTGTCCTATCTTCACACGTACAGTTTTGTTCACCAGAAACCCAGCGTAGGCCGAGCATACCTTGGCAGGAGCGACCAAAGCTGTTCCTTTATGGGGCAGGCCAATCACACTATTTTGACTTTTTCACAATAGACTCCAGTTGCCACAACCGAGTCAGTTATGTGGAAAACCACAAATCCACATTGATTCGTAGGAAGGCTCGAAAAAGTGGCTCAGCCATCCCGTATTTTCTGTCATTCTATTAATAAAGATCTTGTCTTAAATTCTTCAAGGCACAAGTAGAAAAACACCACTTATATTTTGTCTTAGCTAATAAAAGAAAGCTTTGGCAACTGAATCTGTTATTTGTACAAGTGAGAGGATACATTGAAAACTTCAAAGGTGCATATGTAGAAGGAAACATTGAGGGGGAAGAAAAGTTCACTGGAGCAATGTTACAGTGAAGTTTCAGAAATAACCTAAATGTCCATCGCTTAAGAAATAGACTTTAAAACTCTCAGTTGAATATTCACTGGACTGTTCCCATGTTTCATCTAAGTCATGAATCAACCACTGGCCCCAAATACAACCCCTGTTTTATGAATAAAGTTTAATTAGAACATTAGCCATACTCCTGGTTTACATATTGTCTATAGCTACTTTCATGCTACAAGGGCAGAGTTGATTTATGACATAGACTGCATGACTCTCAAAGTCAAAACCAACTATTTGCTATTTAGCCATTTACAGAAGAAGTTTACCAACCTCTGATCTAAGTTAAAAGTACCACATATTGTAAAATGCACCACTGCTGTATGTACTACTAATACAAAAAAATAATTTTATGCCAGTTAAACTATGACAAGCCATCAGTTGTATAAGAAGCATCTGATTTTAGAGACATCAAAATATGAAAAAAATCATCTTAGAATAGATGAGTTGTGGATATAGCACTCGAAGTAAATAAATGACAGTGTTGGCATAAACCGGGATAATCTTACGTGCTTAATGGTGAGTGAGCAAAAGGCAAGTGTAGAGAAATTCGCAAAGTGATGTGAACTATATAATGGTATCTATATGTCTCTCTTTTTTTTAAGATTATTTATTTGACAGAGAGATCACAAGTAGGCAGAAAGGCAGGCAGAGAGAGAGGGGGAAACAGGCTCCCCGCTGAGCAAGGCTTGATCCCAGGACCCTGAGATCATGGCCTAAGCCAAAGGCAGAGCTCCAACCCACTGAGCCACACAGGTGCCCCTCTACATGTCTCTTAAAGAACAAAACATTGTTAGGAGCTTCTATGACTGTGGGTTTGTATAGGTAAGGATAATTGGAACGAATTGAAAGAATTTAAAGAAAATGTATGACAGGTTTTCCATGGGAGGAGAAGGAAGGGATCGAGGGTGGGGTTTTCCTTTTACCTGTAATCGGCTTAAGTGAAGCTTAAACGTCACTTTCTTCAAAGAACTCTTGCTCAGTCCTTCAGGTTTTTGTAAGAGGTAATTTACGAATAAACTTTAATTTTGAAAAACATCAAAACATGAAAAAGCTGGAAGAAAATATGTCCAATATGAGCAGTGGTGAATTTTTTACATTAGAAATAGGGATGATCGCGTTTGTGTTATATTTTGTGATCATAGTAAAGAACTTCATGGGTAACTGAAAACGATTATTCATATACTTCGTTTCTACCTCAATCAAAAGAGATTAAAGTTTGAAGAGGTACATGTTAATCAATTACCTGACGTTACAAACTAATCCTGTTTTTCTACTGTGGCATTAAGATTAAACACTGTGCAAGTCGGGGCCAAATTTCATAGTTGAAACTTTTTCTCATAGTGGTGGTACAGCTAATCTTTAAATACAATGTGCTTGATTCCTCACCATGAAAAACCACCAACTGGAAAAGTTAAATGTCAGGTGCATTTCACTGAACAGAAATAGCTTGTCATGACTCATGTTATTGATGTACTGATGTCATTTCTTTCAGCCTGACCTCACTTGTTTTGAAATGTACCTGGTGATTTTACTAGATTTTCTATGCTCTCACGTGCAGTTCAGGCCCCCCGTGTTGCTTGCGGGATGCCCTCATTTTGTCTGTCTGTAGCTGAGCTTCTAAAAATACTCTCTGTGTCCTTCAGTAGGATTCCAGATTGTTTCTTTCGATAAGGAAGATCTACTCACTTACCACTGATTTTATGGAGTTTTTGTTTCTATCTCGTTGTTTTAAGCATATCTTTGTCCGTGGAGGAGTGTTTTGTCAGAAGTAGGCCAAGCTGCCTGCCTTCGAGATTAAGACATAAACCATGTCCAAGAAAGTGATGGTGGGAAGTGGGGCCGTAGGGCCTTGAGTCTGTAGCAAGCGACGACAGGCTGGGGCTGGGGTCTCCTGTCACTAGCACGAAGACGGAGCGCTGTGCTGGTCACCATTTAACCGCACTGTTTCTTTCTCCAGTTCAATCTCACCATTTAGTATTGAGAGCACAAGACGCCAGAGACGGTCTGAATCCCCAGACTCCAGGAAACGGCGTATCCACAGATGTGATTTTGAGGGATGCAACAAAGTATACACAAAAAGTTCTCACCTGAAGGCTCACCGAAGGACACATACAGGTACGCTGTCCCAGGGCTCCTCTCTGGGCGGGGGTGGGGGAGATGGGGGATCAGGGAAAGTCCCAAAGGGGCCACTGTTCGATTTCGGGGTCCTGAGTGCCCAGGAATGTGGTTTATATTCGCTCCTTATACTGCGATCTAAAGTTGACTTCCTGTCTGAGGGGAGTGCGTTCCCCTGTCTCAGTTGAAAAAGACTTAAGTCTTAGTGACCTTAGCAAGGGTGAAGTTCATTGTCTATGTCTTAAGGACCTTTATGGCGGTAGGACACAGTGATGGAGCCTTTTTTATAATCAGTGTTGCCACGTAACCATTGTCTAGTTTCTCAGATTCTAAAAGGTCCGCAAAGCACACTCAAAAACGCTGAGCAAAATTGTCCTATCCTCTTAAAGGTAACATTTTTTTTTTTTAAGATTTTATTTATTTGACAGAGAGGGACACAGCAAGAGAGGCAACACAAGCAGGGGAATGAGAGGGAGAAGCAGGCTTCCCACAGAACGGGGAGCCTGATGTGGGGCTCGATCCCTTGACCCTGGGATCCTGACCTGAGCCGAAGGCAGCTGCTTAATGACTGAGCCACCCAGGCGCCCCTAAAGGTAGCATTTTAAGCACCACTTAGATCATGTTTTTCTCCCCTTGGTCTCTTCCCCCAAATAACCAAACAAATGAACCAAAAAATATATATATAAAATTGACATATATGTATA